AGAAATATGAAGATGCTCAAAAAGCGTATGAAAATTGTTTGGCGATTGCGCCATATCATGAGGAAGCGCGAAATTCCATTGAATACATAAAATCTAAGACTCTCACGTCGTCACTGAACCCTCTGGATACCTTTAAGAACTTCGACACCGAGAATGACGTTGCAGAAAATAAAAAAGATAAAAAGAAACGCAAAAAGGAGAGAAAATCTAGATCGAAGAAAAGACAAAGATGGAGTTCCAGCTCAAGCTCTTCATCTACCGGATCTTCGACCTCTTCGAGTTCAGACTCGAGCAGCTCATCGTCGTCAGGAAGCTCACGATCGGCATCTCGATCACCAAATCGTAAACGCAAACATAAGAAAGATCATCGCAGTTCGCTTTCGCCACTTAGCAAGCGAATGGCTCAGTATAACAATCCTCCTGCTGCAGCTACCACTACTCACGATACTATCGCACCGGCCTCTTACACTACAAATGCACGCGAGAAAATGGACGACTACGAAATCAAAGTACGCAAGTTTCTCGAGCAAACCAAGGACGATTCTGATTATGAAGATAAGGCAAGTATAAATTTATGAGTTTGCTTACTTGCATATTTCAAAGTTTGTAACATAAATATTAATGCAAGGTGTTATATTTACGAACAGGTAAGAAAATTCTTAGAAGAGACAGCAAGATGGAAGAGAGAAAGGGAAAAGGAAAAGAAACACTCTGAAAACGAAAAAATGAAGAAGAAAAAGAAGAAAGAAAAGAAGGGGAAAGATAAAGAAAAGGAGGACAAGAAGAGTCGTAAGAAGAAGAAGAAGGAAGAACGGAAAAAGCGTAAAAACAAGGACAAACTCGAACGAGATTTAGAAGCATTGAGAAAATCATCTTTGCCGGATTTGGAACAGTTAGAATCCAAGCTTAGTGCTTATTATGCGAAAGTTGAGAAAGACTGTGCGGCGCTTAAAAGGTTGGAATCATTGTTAGAATTTTGTCGTAATAACGAATTTAATATTTTTTTTATTACCTTCCAGTTAAGCAGTTTGATTTCAACTCGTGTTGTACAATTTTTATTTACGCTGTTTTCATATCCTCAGCTATCGCAAATGAATGGAAATTACGCGGTCGTCAGACATCGTATTCTACTTATGTTTTTATATTTACTAGGTATGTAGCACAGTATAATGACATAACTTCCCCTCTTAGCAACGCGGAGAAGCTCGCTGAAAGTTCACGCAAGGAGGAGGAGCTGCGTAGAGAGAGGGAAAGAGACGAAGCTTCAAAGGCATATCACGAGCGAGAATCCAGGGTACCAATGACTGCGCAACAGAGAAAAGGTGTGTATTATATTTATAAAATGTATATTAAAATATAACGATGTACGATCTCTCCATAATCGTTTAAAATGTTTGCAGAAATCCAGAGGAAGCCACTAACAGACATATTTGAACAAGAATCTCAATTGATTCATCCCGAACCGAAACTCCCTACCCTAGACACCGCTGCATTAAATGCTAAATGGAAGGCTGCACAAGCTGCTAGGTAAGTAATTAAAGATATATGTTATACAATTTTACATTAAATATAATTTGTAAGATAGAATGTGATATTGTTTCATACTTTGCTGCAAATTTACATTTATGCATGATTTCAGACAAAAGGACGTTTCTTCACAAAAATGGCAAGATGTCCAACCAGATAACAAGAAGGTACAATCTAATGTCTTTGTGGATAGCGACGAGGACGATGATAATGAATTGGAAGAAAGAATACAACGTGCGGCTCTTGAGAAATCTTTGAATATACGGAAGCAAATGCAACGCGAACTTGCTGAGAAAAGAGCACCGCCACCGCAACCTACACCGACACCACCGCCACCGCTGCCGAAAGAGCCTCCAATGCCAAAGCAAGCGCCCGTCAAGTATCCTACACCGCAACCGCAGAACAAATTCCAATCTTACAAGGATTCTACTATATCTGTGTCACAAACTACACCGACCAAGTTTGCCTCTACCAACAATTTGGGTGGCAAATTCCAACCGATCGGTCAAAATAGCGGAACTGGACATCCACCGGAACCACCGCGTCCTCCGCCAACGGCAAAGACTCAAGCCAAAGGTCCAAGAACCGATTCCGACAGTGAGACTGAGCGTCAGCACCGACAAACTCCGAAGAAACGCGAATCGAGCAGCAGAGGCGGCATGAGTAAACGTATGAGCAGGGATCGTCCAGGAAAACGTTCGCGTAGTCGATCTCGCAGTGCCTCTAGTTCCGGATCGTCTAGATCTCGATCACCAAGACGCAGTCGCTCACGTTCATATTCGAATCGACGATCTGGCAGTTATGAGAGGAAGTATAGCAGATCTCCTTCGGGCACATACAGTAGATCGCGATCACGATCGAGATCTAGGTCATACACCAGAAGTCGCAGCCGCAGTAGGTCGGGTGATCGGGGTTACTATCGCAAGAGGCAATTCCGACCATACAACAACCGCGGCACATACTACAAGCCACGCTTTCAAGGTTTCAACAATCCGAATCACCGTGGTGGTGGCAACAATTTCCAGAATCGAAATCGTTTCTACAACAATCAACACAATAATCGTTTCGGTAATCGTCGCGGTTTTAACAATCGCGGTCGAGGCGGTCGCGGTAATCGTGGTGGTAGATTCTTTCATAATAAACAAGGCTTCCGTGATTTCCGCGACAGACGGGACTTCAGGGACCGTCGTGCTTCGTCGCGTGATCGATATAGCGATCGCAGCTATTCACCCGATCCAATGAGGAAGGTTGACGAAGCGAAGGAGAAAATCAACAAGATGCTCGAAGGAGGCGACGACATTGAACATCAACAGAGTGGTAGCGGTGGCACAACCGTGCCACCTAACAAGAGACAAGCTGGGCCCTTGAGCGAAGGAGAAGAGAGGGACGATGACGACTATGAGAGGTGGGGAGAGGGAGAGGGGGGCGATGCAGCTAGTACCAAGGTTGGTTAGACTTCAGGTTTCAACCTACGAAATGATAATCTCATCTTTACGATGACGATAACCTGATTGATGATAAAAACGAGGAATAACAGATGAAGAAAATAATGATGATGATCAGCCACGAGAGAACACGCCACGAGCCAACTAACTCTCGTTTGTTGCCAGACTGACGGAGTCAAACCTGTCGATGATAACCTGGACGGCAAGGAGTACTTCATTGAGCGCATGAAACAGCGAAGCAAGAACGTTTTAATGCAGAGAGCCATTGCTGCTAAGATTTGGTAGTTAGGATCTGTTACCGCCACCATCGCTGCTTCTCTGTGATATAGTCGCTTTCGTTCCATCGCCCGTACTCTGGCTAATCGACCGATTGACCGACGAGGCACGTCGAGACACTTGTAGTTTTGTAGTGCCAATCTCTTCTATTATTCACATATAAATATTTATAATGTCAAAATTGCTAATTTTTTTTATGTAATTTTATTTTTTTTCAGTGATTTAAAATTAATTTGATTTAAACATGAATTGAATTGAATTTGAATAGCAGTTGTTTCAACTATACGTAATAACTACTATAATGATTTACTTGTTAAATTTTGTTGGCACTTTAGAAAATTTCATATTATTTTGAAAGGGAAAATGTCAAATAGGTTATAAATATTTAGCTTAAACATTAGTTAATGGATACATTCTTATGTTAGTAAATAATTAATAGTTATATTTCAGTTCATCACATGCAATAAGTACTCATTTAGAAGCTACATATATACAATTGGCAAGTGGCTTTTCATTATCATTTGAATATATATCTTTTTTTCCCTTATCAATAGTGTACATTTTGGGAAAACATTTATACTAGATTGAAACGAAAACGAGGGAAAGATGTATTTAAAAAATTCCCCATAAAAGATTAGCAGGTCGTCACTCATATATTCGAATGCCTAACAGCAATACCTTCACTGTCTTTGATTATCGTAATAATTAAAATAATCCTTGTAATAATTGAAGACACAAAATCACTAATGTAAACTTCAAGTCGAATATCTTGATAGAACGTTATTGAAAACGGATTAATCATTGCTCCATATTATTATTATATACTTTGAGTTTTAATACGAGCAATTTATTACGGAATAAGATACGTATATATGTTGTATGTAAACGAGTTGGCTGTACAATTGAACACAAATATATAACACTGCAAAAAAAAATAGTAAAACTCGACTTTCCGAAAGAACTAGACATACTCCTTCCCGTTGAAGTATCTCTATCAAGAATCTGCATACTAGTTGTAGTGCACGGTATTTTGATATCGGAATTTGCATTAGTACTGGGATTCTCTAAACGTCTCTTATCGACGATTGTCGCTATCGTGAACTATCGACAGCTAATAGCAGGAAAATCTTGGAAGAAAGCGCAACTCTCATTGGCTGTCACTAGTTAATGGTAGTGACAATTGTCGATAAAACGTGAAAATCCTGCAACAGGTTGGTAATACCGCGAGTACTTATTGCCGTTTCTACCAATATAGATTAACTTCAGGTATGGTCAAAGTCTAAAAATGTTTTGAAGTATTTGATCCTTTGAATGAAAAGATTTTACAAATGACCAGAGGATGCTTCACAAAATTTATACGTAGCATTACTTTAAGGAGCGGTCCACGTGACATTACAAATGCTTCGAAACTTGATTGACCAATCGGAAGAAAGAATTTTACTAAATGACCAATCAAAAAAATGCTTCAAAGCATTCGTAGCATGAAATAGACCGTAGCCTTCATCTCGGTTCGACTTTTTTAATTCTTAGAACTGGAAAAAGAACAATTGATTAAACCAAAATTAAAATCAAATTACATTGATAGAAAAAGGTAGTATGTAAATTGAACCGAGATTAAAGTTAATCTTACATAGAATCGAGCCATAAAGTTGCCAATGTCTCGCATTGTTTTTCGTATGTTCTTTGGCTACGTTACATCGTGCGCTTAGTCTGCATCCTGTAACCCAATTCTAAATTATTTAGGTTCCATAATGTGGTACCAAACACTTGATTATCCGATCTAGCTTTAGGATCTACTATATTCCTCTGCGACATTCGTTCGCAAGTTGCAAATGCAAACAAAATGAAGAAATAAGCGAATGTTCAGCACATCCGTTTTGTCAGAAGAGATGCGACAATATAAAAGAATGGGAAAGATTGCCCTGCCCGAGGAACTGCGTTTCGGGCTGCGTCTGCAAGGACGTCTACGTGCTGCACGATCTCAATGTGTGCATCAAGAAAAAACCGATTGTTTCGAATGCAACATTAAGTTTCCGAAAGAGAATGCGAAAAACAAGCTCTGATAAGTCACCGCGAACATAAGGAATGGAGCGTAGCGATTCACTTTCATCAATAAATGGAAAGTATATAATCTCGTGTATATAAAATCCTGTATATAATAATAATCGCATTCAATAATTATGTAATACATAAATAATTTTACAAATGCTCCTCTAAAAGATTCCGAAATTCACGAATCAAAATACCATAGCAAGTTATCGAAAAGAATAAATATTTGTTATTTTTCTTTTCAAACAGTAGTTTTTGAAATATAAAGATTAATTATAGATTGTGGTTAAAGGGCTGACTGTCTGAGTGTTTTTATCGGTAAATGTTAATGTTCGCACTTGGCAATTTACGGACAGACGTCGTTTGATGATAATCTATAATTGGTCACTTTGAAAGTTCATATCTCGTAAACTAATGTTCGAAATGAAAAACAACATGCTTTTTTATTTTTTTCGAGAATTTGCTGTGGTATTTTGATTCGCTAATTTCAAAAGACTCTGTATATATAATCAAACAATTCAACATAAATAAATTTAATATTGTTGATATCCAGAAATAAAAATGATTACCACAAGAGAATGCCGTGGTATAATTTAAATTGGATAAATTATGCATTCCTCAAACGTGTTTGCGCGTTGTTGTGTCGATGCGACGATGCACCTGCGTATGCACGCATTCCGTGCAATAAACGACGGCTGCCGTTTATTACTCACTTACTCGGACTTGCTGACGTAAAAAGGAGCGTGCAAGCGTAAGTTTTATCATATAAGAGTCATTTGAATTCCATTTCAAATCCATCGAAGCCTTGAAATTGCCCGAAGGCTCCTTCGATCCGTCTCCGCTCCCCAATCGAGTAAGTATTCAATTCGCCCCGTCTTTCTATACATAACAATACAATTTGAAAGAATTAGTCGCGATGTTTAAATTCAAAGGTCGGGACAACGATTTGGAAACTGCAAAATTCGTTGATACTTTTCTCGAGACGGATCGCGGCACGCGACGCGCTCATCGAAGGGGAAAGACGTCCTTTCGTGTCGAGGGAACGGAATTCCATCGCGATGCAACGCTTCGTAAAATCCCACGTTGCTCCTAACTCGCACGACTCGACTCCTCGGGATCGGATCCGGTGTCGGTGGCATCGAGCAGCATCGAGCAGCATCGAGCACGCACACAGAGCAACTTCGCGGCAGCCTTCCTATAGTGAGTACCAATCGTACCACGCGTGGCGACTCACACGCACGTGGGTGCGCGCGGTCGTTGCTGTTTAGTCCACCCCGTCCACCCCGATCCAGCGGTCCCCCAGGTCCCCCCCGTCATTCCTTCCCCCTCTCGCCGTCGCTCGCTCTTTCTCTCTTTTTCTCCGAGCTCTCTGACGGCTCTGACTTCCTCCCGTGCAAGCGAGCCAGCCTCGGTCGGCCTCGGCCGTCCTTGCCCCTTACGCTAGGCAACACGTCTGTTACCGCATCTACTAGCTAGCGCGAAAACATCAACTCGCTCAAACCAACGGATTAGAAAGGCTCGCAAACCAGGCCCCCGTAGTGATGGGCCCGATCCGATTCGCGTCTACGCCGCTATCGAGCAATCGATGAACTTTATAAGGGCAGAGAAGAATGCGTAATAAAATTCTCGATTTTTGTAGGGAGTGGAGCTCGACCAGGTACGGGCTGAAGAAGAATTTATGGCACGTTGTTAGCACTTTGAAATACGGACACTGTCAGGAACGACGATTAGGGTCATTGCAGGAGTGCCTGAATTACGACCTCATTTCAGATAGAATGAGATTGCGGGTGAAGAGAAATATTTGAGATAAATATACCACGCGTGGCTGTGTTCTTCCGAGGATTGCCAAAAAGTATTTAAGGACACAAATAAAATTGACACCTATTAAGAATGCGAATACGTTCGTCCCGTACAAAGAATACGACACACCAAGTTAAGAGACAGTTAAAATGATTTTGATGTCATTAAAGTTAACATGGCTTATGATTACAAAATTTGATTATTTATGTTATGATATGTTAAAAATTAAAATAAAATTATTTTAACTTTTCGTTGACTTTTATGTGTTCTTTGGGCGTTTATGCTTTCAGATACGAGGTTCGTACGATCATTGCCGTTGGATCTCTTTCGACTCTTGCGAATCAAAACTCGCTGGAAAATTCTCAGACGAGAGGTTGTAACCGGTAATCTCGTGTAAATCTGCCACAACAATGTGTGTCTCGCGTGTTTGTATTTACGCGCAGTATCTCTACGTCAATTGTAAGTTTCGGAAAGTATGTAATTTGAAGCCTGAGTGTCCTGTTTGTTACAGGAATTCACAGATCTTTTTTTATCAATGTAAATTAATTTAAATTTTAGTTTAATTTACTTTTATCTTTTTCTAATTTTAAAAAATACCCGGATAACGTTGCATAAGATATCTAAAAGACGTCTAAGACTCGGCTGCTTCACTTTTCGGTAAACTTCAGTTCATTGTCTTACTCTCTTACTCTATTATATTCTTACTCTTACTCTTTTGTTTATCCAATAGGTAAATTACCACATAATTTATCCGAAGATGGAACAATTGGCTTTAAAAGATGTACATTATCTAGGCAGTAAATTAAACTGAAATTAAAGTTGATCTACATTGGTAGAATAGAAATGGACAACAGCCAAAAGAATGGTGATATAACTCGAAATACAACGCAACCGTTGCGTTGTAGGCGATTAGCTTCTTAGACAACAAAAAGTCTAAAATTAAGACACAAAGCGTTTGTAAAACGAACAAGAATATACGATAAACAGCGTATCGCCCGATGGCTGCGTCGTTAATGGAAAACAATTAAAATTGTGTCGTATCTATATGCGCAGTTATACATGTATTGTCATTGACTTTACACATTGACAACGACGCAGTAGTCGGCCGACATTGTCTATCGTGCTCTTGTCTTAAAGAACGTCTTGAAGACGTACTTATATCCTAATGTTAGACTTTTTGTGGGAGAACATAAAAGGACTCGAAGAACAAGAAAGTTGAAATAATATCATATTAATTAAATCGTCTAAAAAAATGACATAAATTCGATCAATATATGACATCAAACTAACATTATTTCGACTAATTTGACTTTCTTGTTCTTCTTCGGATGTCTTTTCATCTTTTAGGTTCTCCCAAAAATATTTAAGAGCTTCCTGCATATTGCGCATGATGTATCATTTTATCCTTGTACCATTTTAACATTTGGTGAACAATAAGAGTAAAAAGATAGGTATCATGTGTATAAAAGGAAACGCATCCAAAACATCTTTTAAACATCTTTAAGACATATCTTATATTTCGACATTGGTCTGTGAGTCATATAGGTAATGAAGAATCAGGGTTGATCCCATCGCTAGAGCCGTCCCGCCTCTCTCCCCGCGACCGTTCGCGCGTAGGAGGGAAAGTTACCGGGAATTTCTCCCTCCCGACCTCTCTCCCCCCTGAGACACCAACGACGGAAGCTGCAACCTCGACGATCGGCGCCCGGTCACGAAAACGAACGGACGGTTGAACGGGGCCGGGAGGAGGACGGGACAAAAGCAGACGCGCGTACTTTTTGTACAGCCGTTAAGCGCGCGCCGGAAGAGCCGGCAGGAAATGTCCGCGAACACGATTCTAGCCACGTTCGCGGACAGCCCGTCGACTCTCCTCACGAGTTCGGTTCGGGGCCCGAATCGAGCGAGGCGTCATCCGTCCGTCATCCGTCTCGCCATCGTGGCTGGATCGGCGGATCCTCGCTCCCCGACCCCGAGAAACGGAATTCCGAGGAATATTCCGGATGCAACGGAGGAACGTTTATCGATCATTCCGCATCGGATATCCTCATCGACGTTCCCGACGGAATCATGATTTCATAACGAAGAATTCGATATTTGAGTTCCTAGAAAATTCGTTGGGAAATTAATATTGTAAGTATTTGCGATTGAAATTTACTGTCAGAACCTACAACTTCGAGTCGCCTTATTGAATTCTTTCTTTGTATTGATATTTTTATTCATGAAACGAAATATCGCTCCTTTACTTCAGAATTTCCTGAATCCTTTACATTAAAAATGTCAAGTTAATTTAAGAAAAAGAGGAAACTATTTTTTAGCTCCACAGAAATTATCAACTAATCAAATAATATCGGAAAAAAGAAGATATTCTTAGTATAATCAAATGTCGTTTTGTCATTTTTGTTTCACGACTCTTAAACAACTACCCTTTTTGAATTGTGATATTTTTTTATGAAATCAAATTCATTTATTTTGATGTAGATGTAGAGTAATGTTTGCTTAACTCATACATGTGTGGGGGAGGGGATACAAATTTAATGTATAATTATACGTATACATTAAAGAACAACGTCCTTCCACAGTTTAATGATAAGTAATTTAGTAATTGATTACAAAAATGAGTCCTGCCCGAAAGACTTTCAGGGCACCTATTATGGAAATGTTCGGAATGGATTCCTATCGGAATTATTCAATTATTCCCTAGATTTCTATTCTGTTTTCTGGGGAAAACGAAATAATTCCGCTCGGAATCCATTCCGAATATTTCCATAATAAGTGTCCTAAATAGCGTATCTATTTCGCGGCTGGACAACTCCGCGCGGACCGCGAGGACCGCGCGACGCTAACTCGGTGGGGTGAGGGCCCTTGGCCCAATCATGCACGGCCGATTTCCCGATAGCCAATCCTCGTGATTTAGGGAGCCCGCGCATCGGTTACCATGACGATGGATTTTCCTGTTACGACAGGCTCGCGCCGCGAGACATTTCTTGAACGTTCTTTTTAATCAGTTAATGTTTGTCCACAATCCAAAGAACAACCAAATGTGTGCTTATAACGGAAATATGCCTACACCTGGTATAATAATTTGAAAATCACATTTTTTAAAATCATTTTTTTATTAATTGTATCACTTTTGAAGTAAGGAAGATTCCTGTTCGTGCAAGTTTCTTTGAGTCTTTCGGTAATTATAAATTTTACTACATTTTATTTTCCAAAATAAAGAATCAATATTTATT